CTAAATAGAGCCGCTTCTGTTAGCAAACCCTTAGGTTAGCCACAGCCTGAGGAATTCCAGGGGTAGTTTTGACTGGTTTGTCTTTTTTTTTTTTTCTTGACGTGTGTCGAACGCATTAAGGCTTTTAATAGCCGTGTTTCAAAATGAAAGACCCAACAGGTGGGACCTGAGAACCGGCCCGTCGCTGGCAGTTATCCTATCGATTCATCATCTTCAAAAAGCTGTCGCTGCGTCTTGGGGGCAGAAAATAAGCACTTCCCCCGAGCGTAACCACACTCACGGCCTCCGGCTGGATGCAGCCCAACGCCGGCACCCTCCCCCCAGCCTTGGTGTTTCAGGCCGTCCCCCCCTTCTCCGAGAGGCCCGGACATTAATCATGGCGCAGAGAGAGACGGCCCAGACGGGCCATTGGATGTTGTTAGGCTTGTCTCGCCACTGGGCAGGTGAAGGGAGTCGCTTGGTCCGGAATCTTACTTTGTTGCCGTGGTGAGGTGTTGGTTAGGGGGCCGCGGTTCCCACAGAGAGTTCACCCACCAAACACCCACCCCCCCACCCTCCCTGACACCTAAATAGAATGAGTAATTAGATGCTATAATGAAAGATTAATGGCGTCTAATCGATTTCAGTTTTTCACGGTGCCCCGCTCTCGCCTATCTCCCCCCCCCCCAAGGTTCCCGTGAAGGTGGACATCTGTGTTTTTGTCAGTGTTGTTTTTCATTCCCTTTTTTTTTTGTTTAAATGCTAGTTTGCCTGGTAAACATGCCTGTTTATGTATGTGCTCTCCCGCGTACGTGCGGCCAAATGAAAGGCCTTCTGTCTGAGGACGTGTGGACGCTGTCCAACTCAGCACGCCCCAGCGGCGAAATTAATCAGAAGCCGCTACCAGAGATGGGGGAGAGCGGCGGAAGGGTATTGAAAGACAGGGTTCATGAAGATACAGCTTTCTATTTCTCCATGTAGAAACTGTTCATTAGTAATGTTGACATTCTGAGAAACTTTGGCTGAGAAAATTAAACTACAGCAAGGCCACTTCTGATTATGAAATTACAGTCTGCTGAGAGGCCTCACTGATGCCTGAATTGACTGGCCTTGGCGAATAAATGTGCTTTTTTTTTTCCAAACGTATTTCGTTTTTTGAGAGATACATTAATTTTCTCCAATCTTTTTTTTTTTTTTTTTTTTTTAAAGTTTGCTCGCCAACTTTGGTAAGAATTATTATTACTTAGCTGATTACACATAAAGGAAGAATCTTTAGAAGTCTCTGATTTGGTCCGGCTCCCTTGTCTCTCTGCTAACTTTTAAGGTTTTTGAAAAGTCATAGAAAGTTGTTACTCGCCTGTAAACGAAGTACTTCGAAGTACTCACGTTACTGTTTTGTGTTCCGCATTCTGAAAACTGTAAAAATTAAACCACATCATCAGCTTGATAGAGGCTGAAGCTGTACAATATCTTTGACAGCCTCCAAAGCAATTAAATTCCTCGTTAAGGTTCTCATTTCAGCTGTATAAATGGTGCTTGTGTGGGGAAACACGTTCACAGTTTATTGATAAAAAGACCATCAATTATACGTAGTTATAAACTCACCAGATGCAATACTGCACAATGCAAACAAGCGTCTGTGCTTAGTGACTGGGCTATCTTTCTTAGCGCATATGTTTTAGAACATAGCGTGGAGAAATGGTCTTTCATCCCTCACTGGAGAGTGTGCCACTCAGAAGCTGGACCCGGCCCAACATTTCACGTAGCCTGGTTCTTACTTAATTCTTACCGTCAGCTGTAATTACAAAAGACAGCTTGTTTAATTGGAATCAGTATTTATGCCCTTGTGTCTTCCGTTCACCAACTGTACAACCTATATAACTTATAAATGAATCAGAAATGCAAACCTGGTCTGGCTAAGAACATGGATGTGTAGCTGAGACGTTATTGGTTCGAATCCCAAGGGAAGGCTTGTTGTTACCCACAGAGAAGACCGTTAGATTTCTTCATGGAAAATCATAAGCTAAATCAATCTGTTTAAATGCTTCAAATTCTCTTTTAGAGGCTTGTATTAGAGTTCAGAAATTTGTAAAGGTAATTTTCTCAATGTCTAACATACAAAAGAAATTGTGTTACATGTTCTTTAAATGCTAAACTGGTACTTTGGTTTTATATAAAATAAGCTCCCTTCTGATGTCAACAGGAGACATTTCTGCCTCAAGGTGTACTGGGAGTCTAGGAGGAGCACGAATTACGCACCTTCGGTACGTATCTGTTCTCAGGAGCACGACCAGCGTGATTATACGCTGTGGTTCCCCGATGGTCAAACGAGCCACCAAACCACATCCTGTCATCGGACTCCCTCTCCTCCTTCAAGAAATGTCTCAAGACCCATCTGTTCCATGAATTCCTCTCAGGCTGATGCCTGATTACTTTCCCAGAATGTTCTTATGTTGTTCTTCTGGCCCTTGAATAGTCTCATCAGGTTCTTACTCTTTAAAAAGTTGTTGTGTAGCTCCTGCTGCAATACAGCTTGCACTTGTACCTGGGCTTTCATTGAAAGCTCAGCCTAGCTGCACTTACGGTGCAATTGCACCCCCAGTAAAATCACCTATAGCGGGGGAGGGGGGGCGGCATCAAAGGTGACATGCACACTAAAAGCAATACAGAGATGCTAATTAACCTGGCTGCATGTTTTTGGACTGCGGGAGGAAACCTGAATGACAGACACCCAGGGACCGGATTCAAGCCCCCCCCCCAACGCTGAAGTAGTAATGAGGCAGTGCTGTCCACTGTGGCACCTGTTAATCATTCAGTTTGAATTTACTCTCTAATCTCCAGCTTTCTCAGGAATCCAACGTGATAAACTGGCCCATTTCAGTGCTTCTCAGCCCGGAACCTTAGATCCTCACAGAGGGTCTACAGTTTTGTTCTACTTCACATCTGCACACCTGAGCCAGGTAAGAAAAGCCTGATAATTAGCTCAGTAATAGAATGAGGTGTGCAGGTGGTCTGTGCATCCAAAATGTAGCTTGGCTGGGTGTAAGAGGAGGGACCGTCTTGAAAATCTTGGAAGGATCGCTACTAGCGTAAAGGATTACGTTTATTAAGTATTTTTTTAATAGAATACAAAAATACAAACAACGTATGGAATTACAGTAGTAATTACAATAGTCTGGCCAACTTAGGTCAGTAAGATTTTCAATTTGAGATAAGTCCGCACACCCATACACATTCATTTACATGTACGTACAATTTTATTACCTTGTAAATAATCTGTATGGAAGTACAACCTACCCTAACACTTTTGATGTAGGCCTAAGTAATTTTAGGTTAGTAATGGAATAATATAGATTTCCTGTAAAATTTCTTAAGATTGAATTTCTCTTAGGTGACCTAGTGTTTCACTGCATAATTTCTATCCAATCCTGCCAGAAATAAATGTGCAGGTTTGTTCACACAGTCTAGATATCAACATATACAGCAGAACCATACGGAAGTAGAAGATAATCTCGATAGCACTGTATTGCTATATTGTATCTGCATGTAAACAGAAACTTGATACATAGTCAGTGACTGTGGATGTGGTTTGGGTGCAGGGCTGTCAATGCACGTCATTCATCCATCCATCTGTCGCATCCATCTATGTTCCGTATCGGTTATGCTGCATAGGGTCACCATGAGCGCGGTATGTACGTCATAATTTAGGTAACACTCTGGAGTGTGTGGTGGTGAATGCATATCAAGTTTAAATTACTCGCCATCAAATTTTATGTGGGTCCTGTTACCAGTGACAGTGTGATCAGTTTCTATATGTCTTATCTAAAACATTAATGTCCAGAAACCATAGAATAGCAACGTTTTCTAATTTGGGAAATGTCTTTCGGTTTCGCCTGCTCTCGTTTAATTGTACCATGAAGAGCTTTGGTTAACGCTGACTTGGTGTAGCAGATTGTCAAACATTCCTGTTGCCTAATTAGAAAATTTACGTCTGAAATTAGGCCACAGAAATGGTTCCATTCATGCCTGACAGCGCTGAAATGTAACCAGGCGCAAATCTGAATTTTTCCTGCGTAATAGGCCGTCAAATATTTTGATGTTAATCATAATTATATTTCTTAATTCATAGTCTCTTTTAAATGAAAAAAAAAGCAAAATTATTCGTTTTATGTCTCATATTCTGACATATTTGTGGAGAATGTAAGCGCATTGGGTAAATCATTCAGTCAAATTACTTCTTGTAAATTATGTACAGTGTCAGGCATTATACACGCAATAATGTTAATAATGTTAAGTCCCAGCATGCTCTCTTCTCTCTGTATGTTATTTCAGTGTCCACCAACGCATCAATTAATCAGTGGAAACGTTTAATTCGTTTGCATTTACACATTGCATGTGTGATCTTAAGAAGAGTTTCCACTTTGAAATTATTGCTGGATAAATATGCTGAAAATCCCGTCTCTTTAAAGCTTTGTGTGGCACAGCTGGGACCCCGAAAGCCTCCTTTAGACATAAAAGCAGCCAGTGCCGTGACAGGCTACGATTTCCGTATGAGAAAGATGCCGTTCCATCGCAATGAGGGATCCCGCTCCTGTTTGTTTAAAACGCAGAGTTTTGCTTTTAATGAACCGTCAGCATTCACATGGGCTAATCTGTTATTTATAGCATGACAAGCTGTGACTGATTTATTTACACATCCATTATGTAATTTTGTATAGATATCCCGGCGCTTCAAACCTCGCCGACTTCAGAAGCTCGCGTGTGTGCCGGCTCTGCCTTCTCTGGGTCCAGGGTTACGGCCATATGGTGTGACAATGAAACGAGTACGGGGCAAGCCACGCCCCCCCGCCCCACCCATTCAGCCATATCAAATGCACTCCATTTGCTCACCTGGTCCCAGGTTGTTTCGGCAGCCTTGAGTCAACAAAGAGGAACTCCCGCTAACAAAAATGCACGCCGGCTTTTCATCACGCTGCCTGACTGCGCAACTGGGCTTGTGGTGACCTGCCTTCCCCCCCCCACCCCACTCATCTGTCACCTGCGCAGAAAACAGGACAGCCGATGTGAGCAGAAGCACCGAGTCACTAATTTGCCCCTTAATAACCCTGAACTTGTCATTCACTTTCCATGCTTTCCACGCATTCACTTTCCATGCTTCCCATGCATTCACTTTTCCATAGTACAATTCCTTGGTTATACTACTATACTGTTCTGTATTCAGCATTCAGCAATACTCTAGTCGTATTACTTCACAACTAGAATAAATTAGTACAAATCTGTTGCCATAGTACTGCAAAGATACAAAATAATACTACGATACTGAAACTATATTACTACAAAACGACATAATTATACCACAATACTGCAGCCAGAGTACTACATGGCTACAAAGAAATACCACAATATTGCAGGCATAGTACTACAGAACTAGAAAATAATTCCACAATACTGTAAAAGTAGTACTACACAACTGCGAAATAATACCACAATACTATAGCTGTAGTACTACACAGCTACAAAATAACACCACAGTACTGTATCCATAGTACAATACAGTTACAAAATAAGGTAGTACTTTGAGGGGGTACAAATAATTTAGTTCCTCAGTTACTACTCAAGAACAAATCATGAACCAATATAGTTCCTGGATGACATACATGAACTGTCATGACTGATTAATGATGAAGAAACATGGGGTCAGTAGGTAACTAACAGTTACTGGTTAATTAACTAATTAACTGGTTAGTAAAAGTGTACTACTACATTATTTGTGCCCTCTCAAAAAAGTGTTACCTAAAATAATTCCACCAAACTGTAGTCATAGTTGACACACCAACAAAATAATACATCAGTACAAGTCACAGTACCATTCCTATGAATACCAACTTTTTTACCGTTAAATGACCCCCTGTTCTACAAATCTGTCTTTTTTGTAGTTTTTCTTGTAACTTTATTTTTTCCTTTCACTTCTTACAATGAAAACAACTGACCCAAGAAGAAGATTTAGTGCCTAGTTCTAATTAGCTTTTGATATCAATGAAAATGATTGAATTATGTCAAATATCATAAGCCATCATGTGCCATATATGTGCCTGGAGCAGTGAGCTGTTTTACAAGGAGCGGAAAGGACATCACTAATGGATGTGTGTAATTCTTAAGTTCAAATATATAATCAAGCTGTCAAGTTGTGTCTATGACCTGCTTTCATCTCTTTATTTATTTCCTTCACACAAGCAGGGCTGTGGTTAAGGTTCCTGATTTTTTACATATGGCAGAAGGACCTGAATACTGTTCCACACTCGCAATATATGAGGTGTCTTGGTCTTTGCGGCAGATCGAGTTGTGGTAAGGGTGGATGGACCTCGGAAGACACGGCGATCGATAAAGCACAAGGTCAGTCTCTTACTTACTGCGACCTCTTCCCCCCCCCTTCCTGACCCTGGAGTTCAGGAACACACCTCAGGAGGGAAAAGGTTACAGAGTACATTCAGAGAGAGGGGGGGCGGATAATTTAATTGAATTTGTGTCCAATGTCGCACTAGAAAAAAAGCCAAGGGAAAAAAAACAGCCGGCAACCCATGTGTCACAGATGCCAGTTTGCAAGTTAGCGTTTGTTGTAAAACCAGTGGCTGATCCAGTAGCAGTTTTGGTGGCCATTTTGGCTGCGCTTGACTTCCCCTGACAATAAGGATGCCCTGTGCACCCAACCAGCTGCGGTAAAGATGCGGGGAAGCCTGCTGGAGTTATAGAAGCCAGTCCTTTGTGCGTCTCAATGCGTTGAGTCATGTGCAGCCAACCAAGAGCTGCCTTGCACATTATATTTCAATGCATCGTTCATTGCGTTCATTGGATTTAGCGTTAATATTCAGTTACAGTACTTTCTCTGGAATCTTTCAACCGAAGCGATTTCCATTCAACTCCACTACCCACAGCCACAGCCAGATCATTTATTTTTAAGATAAGAACCTTTTTTGTGTTGACAAGAAAGACCTTGTAGGGAGACTAACACTGTGGTCCGTGTCTTCTGGTTGGACTCTGCCAGGTCGATGCGCGTGGCCTGATGGGCGGTGGGGACACCGACAGCCAGATGTCATGTTTCCACTGGAGAGCCAAGGATTGCAGTGGCTTTTCTGACCGGTGAAAAGGCATGGTGTGGATCCTGACTTTGCTTATTGCGATCGCCCGTTTAAAGTGTGTTTTGGCAGAGCAAAGCCGCCACAGTGACCCTCAGGGCCTGTCTCTGGCGGCCCCCGCCAGACCCTGCAGATGGGGGCTTTAAGCGATTGTTACATGTTCTCTTATCCAAACTCTTCTACCCAAAATATCTGTTCTCCATTGTCAGTGGGTCACACTGCTTTCTGAGCCAGTGGAAGTTAAACAGATGAGAAAGTTGGAAGACCTTCAAAGCGTATTGGAATTAGAGCAACTTCAGGGGCCTGTTTTTGTTTGCTGTCAAATGGGCCTCCATTCAATAGAATTAGCCAAGCAAAACTGCAAAATAAAACTGGTTTTCAGTATTTGGTTGAATTTATATTTACAGCAATCGATTCCTGTATTTCCCACCAGATGTTTTAATAGATAATATTTCAAACCTTACTCTGGCATATTCTCCTGTTATACTATATATTTGCTATATATATGTGTGTCAGTTATGAAAATGTAATGGGCGATGCCTGTTTTATGTGGTTATTTTGTTTATAAATTTCAGGGAGTATTTATTTAAAGCACTGTCCGTGAATTGCTAAAATAAATTAAATTTAACGAAGCAATGAAATAACGCCTCTGGGGGGTGTGAAAGAATCAGTGAGGTGGGGGGGGTGGTTGTCTGTGGAATCATTCATCTTAGTATTTAGGAGAAGAAAATAAAAGCGTCTCTGTGAGTGAGGGTGCAAGGCCATAACCAAAGGTGTTAACTGGGTGCGAAAAGCTACGTGGGGCCTGACAAACTGAGTTACGTGCCCCCTAACTCCCCCCCCCCCCCCCCATTTTTTTATACCCCCCCGCGCCGGTTTTTCCTTTTTTTCTTTAATTTTATTTTTTTTTTTATTTCACGGACA